GTTCGTGTCTTCATTATAAGAAATTAGTTTTTTATAATCCCGAAATGGCTGCGGTATGGCAACACGCCATCTCATAATTTTGTAGGTGAGAGGTAAAGGACCTTAAGTCCATATTTTGGAATTTAGATGTTTCTATAAATATTTAGCTTTATCACGCAATGCAATTATTATCGGTAAGAGCAAACATGCTTGCCCGTAGATTCGTCCGATGTACTGCTGCAGTGAAGTTTACACTCTTTAGAGCTTACTGCACATCACTGTACACTGGCGCTCTATGGACAAACTACACCCAGCGCTCCCTGAATGCTCTACGCGTGCAGTATAACAACGCTTTTAGGGCGCTGTTGGGCTTGCCACGTTTCTGCAGTGCGTCAGCCATGTTCGTGGAGGCGCGAGTAGACGGTTTCATGGCTGTACTACGTAAAAAGTCGGCGTCGCTACTGAACAGAATACGTGACAGCCCCAACAGCCTCCTGAAGACTGTTGCGGAGAGATGTGAGTGCCCAATTATGCGGCACTTAATAAATAGTACTAGGTCAATAGTAGAGTATAAGTACTAACATAGTTTTAAGTCTGTACTAACACTTTATGGATCACAGTTGTCTTAAATAAAGAATTTATTATTATTATTATTATTATTAATGGTAAAAAAGTCCTATCGTAATTTACTTTTGTAAAGGAGGAAGGATTCTCGACCGTGGGATGACGTCACGCAGCTCCAAGTAAGTCAAAACTCCAAGTAAGTTGGTAGAAAAATGGTTATTGCCGTCAATAACAATTTCACCCTGTATGCCGAAATTACTCCCTATATGCGGAAGGTCCGGGCAGTTGTTCCCAAGAAGGAACTCACTCTTGGAAATCGTTTCGTATACACCCTATTTATGATGCGCAGTAAAGTTTCACCTTATATGAGCGTACTTCGATATCAGACTTAACTCCTAGATTGACTTACTGAGCTCGAAGTATTTTCAACATAAACAAAATTGTGTTGAAGCTATTCGAGGGAAAATCTTAACACCGCAATCAGAAAATCTTAGCATGTAGCGGATTCTTTATGAATTTAAAAGTAAACATTCTTGCTTAGGGACGTCTAATATATAAATAGGTTTGTTACACATTTATTTAACATATTTTACTTCATGTTAAGATTACCTAATTAATACCTCATTCTCTTTAAAACGCTCTGTAATAAAAATCACTATTTGGCCCTTAAAGTTCTGTCTTTACCTCTCATCTGCAGAATTTCTTAAAAAGATTGCGTAACAAGGAGCAGTAGTAATCTACAATAAAATATTAGTATAGGAATTTGTTGTGCGACTTTGTGTTACTATTTATTTAGCGCAAAAGATACGTCGAGTAAGATTTCTGTTTCGAGGCTTATTTTATTATATTATTTTAGTTACAAATGAATAGTCATTAAGAAAGACGTAACAGGCAAAATTAGAGCTTCAGTAAAAAAATCGAAAAAAAATATAAATAAAATGGGGAAATTGCGACAATGTTATACGGCATTTACGGGTAAGCTTTATTTCTGTTTTTTTTTAAATAATTTTTAATAGCAGTACCCAAGCAGCACACGCATATGTATCTAAATATGTACTATAAGATATCTAATAGAATTTAATTCGATTGAATATTTTAAGAGTTCTGAATCTGAATATGAATATTTTAAGAGAATTCCCTCAAGATATCTCGAAGAAGTTTTCTAGATAATTTAAAGTAAAAGTGGGCACAACTTTATTAGTAGATCACAAGAGTACTTTGAGAAACTATCTGCAGGTAGTGTTAAGAGTAATTCTTATCTTTTTTGTCAAGTAACCCTTCTAGAATGCTACAAGACCATTTGTAGAATGTAGACAGTTTTTATTTAGTCTTGTAGACAGTTTTTAGATAATTTATAGTCTATGATAGTTTTCTTAGAAATGCTATTTTAAAACCAAAATACTAAAGCGTTACAAACATAAGACGCAATTCTCTTAATACTAATAGATTTCAAGTAGATTTTATTTAAAAAAATACTACAATTAGGGTTTTTACTCTATAGGACCTTGTAAGAGTTCATGCAAAATGGATAAAGTAAAGAATATTAAAAGATCTGGTGATGGTGGTGAACCTTGGATATTAAATCACATCGTTCGACACAATGCCAATTGTTCAAGATAGAGAAATAAATGAAGGCCATACAAATATTTCTCCCGACCCGGGAATCGAATCTGGGACCTCTGCATAGCAGTCCTAGTTTTTCAACTTATGTCTCAGGGTGGCAGGCGCAGTGCCAGTGCCTCTAAGATCTTTGCTAGTTAAAGCTCTGAGTGGCACTGCAACTGTAATGGACATTCGCGTTGCTTAGCATCAGGCGGACGACTTGTTCTAGTTTTTAACTACAGTTACAGAATTTTTGTAAGCATCATTAATTACCTTATAAACTATCGTAGCCGTATCCATGGGACCTGTAAAGGTCTCGCACTTAAAGTTTAAATCTAGATATTTAAAGACGATTAAACAAACACAAACAAAAAATCTTTCGATCTGACTGGACACTGGAACCAATGTCTGTGTGCCTAATCATTTCATTATATTTGTGTGTAATCATTATTATCAACAATAACAACCTCCTGTTGTAAAAACTTTTTGAAGGTCTCAGAATATATTGCTTTGATCTCTGCAGACTATCAGTTACAGTTAATGTTTTAAAATGTCATTTTAACAAAATTTATGTTCACAGTATAAAAAATTTATGCATACTTAATAAATGCGTCGAAAACGGTAGTTGCGACAAACGTTATTTAAATTTAGAATTATAGTCAGTTGCCAACATCGAGTATTTAACCAGAAATAGAGACGAAATAAGGACCATCCATCCCTGGCAACTCTCAGTTACATGGTACTAATATCACTTTTAAATATCAGCTCTCGTTTGCGCTGAAATCACGAATCAGAAAGCTGAAATAGCACGGCGCCAACAACTGACCTCAGTGTACGTTTTCGTGTATTCTAAAAATATTCTGTATTTATTGCATCGAGTATATAACCAGAAGTAGAGACGAAATAAGAGCCATATATTCCTGGTAACACATTAGCGATATAGCTCTTATAAATATCAACTCTCGTTTGCACTGGAGTATAGACAGGCCATCTACTGACCTGTGTGTACGTCTCCGTATATTCCAAAAAATATTCTGTATTTATTGTAATAAAGATAATATCTCTAACAATGCCGTACTGTTCTATTCGGTGGTGTAGGAAAAACAGCAAAACATCTAATTACAAAACAAACGGAATCACATTTCATCGGTAATTAAATATTAAATATATAATTTCGCAATTTTCGTCCATTATAGCAAAGCTCAAGTTAACTGGTCGTTTTGAAGTGAAACAGTTGACAACACCCGTCAATTGTTTCGAACTCGGGCTAGCCAATCGGAGCGCAGTTGTCACAGTAATGATATGGCAGAACAGTTTTCAAACAAATTAAATGACATTTCGTCTCTATTTCTAGTTACATACTCGATGATTTATTGTAATAAAGATAATATCTGTAACAATGTGGAGCCGTTACATTCGGTGGTGTGGGAAAAACAGCAAAACATCTAATTACAAAATAAACGGAATCACATTTCATCGGTAATTAAATATTAAATTATGCAATTTTTCAATTTTCGTCCATTATAGCAAAGCTTAAGTTAAACTGGTCGATTGGAAGTGAAACAATTTATTGACGACTCTCGTCAATTGTTTCAAATTCGGTCTGGCCACTCGGAGCGCAGTTGGCAGAATAGTTTTCAATCAAATTAAATGACATTCCGTCTCTATTTATGGTTATATACTCGATGGTTGCCATAAGTGCTAATATACGATCTCTATAGAAGAAACTATACAGTTTAAGAATGTGCTAATGTGTTACGATAGGATTTACTTTACTCGATCATATAAAATACTGCAAAAAATCCTCTTCGCCTAAACACTCGAGTTTAAGAACCTGTATTATGCAACTATTGGATAAAATGCTATTATCGTCGTATATGTCAATGTATCTACCGTAACGTATATGGAAGAGAATTTGAATTGAATTGAGACTTTGGTGAAAAATATCCGCAGATTTTGAGCTCTTAGCCGCTCACGCGATGCGCTCCTCCTACCGCAAAATGGCGGCTATATGGTTTCGCAAATTAGAAAAGGATTCAGTCGAAATACAAGTTTTTATAAATAAAAATTATTATTCTGCATTGCTAAATAAATACCCTCCGTACTACCAACAAAATCATCTCAAATAAAATGCAGTAATACACCGCAAATCCTGCACTTATGAAAATGAAAAGCACTAATGAAATTTTTGGTTTACTTGGATAAATATGATAATATTCCGTTTGAGTGGTTCTAACGTTTACCATGAAATTACTTCTTAAAGTAAAGTTTATAAACATTTATATTCAGGGTACACTTAAAAACGCTGCTTACGGTATGTTTTCAATAAATAAACACCGAAATCACCAGCCCAAACAATAACACACACGATTGTCGTGACGTATTTTTGAAGTTGTTTATTTTTTAAATGACAGACCCAGGCATTAAAAATTTCTTGATTTGCTAGAGTAGTTACCGAAATAGCAATTAATATTAGTTCTTTTACCTGTTATAACTTCGATATCCGGATAAATCGGTATAAAATCATCACCGGCACCTCTAGGTGTGGTATGCGTCTACGGCTGCATGTATCGCGTGAGAAACTATTTTATCGGATTCTGATCCTAGGTTACGGTTGACTGGGACCTGTAAAAGACCCGAAACGTAACCAACGTTGTGAAATTACAGGTACAAGAGACTTGTCAACTTATGTCTCAAGATATCGGACGTAGTGGCAGTAAATTTTACATACGTAAAGATAGTTCCATTACAATCCGCAGATTTCATAAAAATTTTCAAATTTCCTGTTACACGCTTTCGTTAGATTGGTTTCTGTTGTAATGAATGCATGTTTCTTTTTCCCTCTTCAGCCTCCTTCGGTTCCTTTGTAATGGGTATCCTGAACGTTTGGCCATCATATACAACACATAATTACTACATCAACCCGAACACGACAGTTTTGAGCGCTCCAATGACAGTCTCCGAAGTTTCATCAGTTGGAAGTTTTCCTTCTTTAGGAGCGATGGTGGGAACAGCAGTAGCTGGGGCTTTAATTAATAAAATTGGAAGACAGAAAGGAGGGGTTGTGCTTTGCTTACCTGCTATTGTAAGTTTTGTTAAGTTTTATTTTTAACGTGGCTAGTCATGTTTTGGTTATTACTATTCGAAATCAATCTTTATAAATTATGTAATAGGTCTCGTGAACGATTTTTTTTATTTACAAAGAACATTAGATCGAATATTTACAGTCTGCAAAGTTGCTACATAAACCAAATTTAATTTCAAATTGGGATAATATTCTTTCAATTGGGATGCGAAACATTAACTTGCAGATACCTTATGTGGCAACGAAGCACTTGGTAAACAAGAAATTGCTAAGATCTGCGGACTTAGTCTGTAGCTGAGTTGGTAAAAGCGGTAGCCTCAATGTGGCATCAGACGCTGGTTTTACTTAGTTATGATCGAAGGAATTTTTCTTTGAGTTATTCGTCTTTGTGTCAATAATAAAAGCAACCTAGTGGAATATTTTTACAAAAAATACTTAATTATGTATCATAATACTAAAACAATATGATATTCAGTAAAATAAATCTATTCATGTTAATCAATAGAATATAAAACATATCACTCAATATAAATAACAGGCACAAAACAAATTAACTAAAGCATTAACTTCTATAATTAGATGTTATTATTAAAACCATATCATACGTAGATCTGTCAAAAAAGATCACGACAAAGTGATATATTACCGTCTTGAGTAAATTTAAATAATACTGTAGGTTCAGTTACCTGCGTTACAATCTACACACATAGTGATGTAACTATCAAATAACCTACGTAAATGATTGTTGAATTCTTGTAATATTTCGGTCATTAAATATTTACCATCACGGAATATTTTGTGCATAATATTTTTTTTACCACTTTCATACCAATCGAAAGTACGTGTGACCTTTAAGAAATTCAGTCTACAAAATTGTGGTCCTTTATTATGTGGGATTTTGAGAAACCCACCTGAAGGCATTCGTTAAATCTCCAACCCGTATTGGAGCAGGATGGTAGACTAGGGTCTGATTCTATTACTAATATGGTAAATCGGTTTGCAGTTACTATCCCTGAAACTTAGTGAGAAAAATCCATTTGTTAACAATATCCAATGTTAGACAGACGATGCCGCAGATCTTTGCGATTTAAAGCTCTGAGTGGCACTGCAACTGCTATGGACAGGTGTGTCGCTTACCACCAGAACCACGACGGGTTTGTCCCGTCACTATCATAAACGTAACACTATTACGAGGAGTAAAAATAAACTGGCTGTTCTTTAGAGTCGTTCTCACAAAGTCACAAATTCGGGGAAATGTGTACGCTTCTATATTAATAATAATAATATTAATAAAGTGGTTCAAATCAGCTGTATGTCTGAGAAAAATAAAGTAAATAATAATAATAAATAGCTTTCTTTATCTACATTAAAATAACAACAATTTAGCCTTAAATAATATCATCTAAAGTTACACATGTAGATAAAAAGGGAAGTCTCAGCTGGAACTGTTTTTCAGAATTTACCTTGTCGCTAGATTTTATGTTAGTACTTAATAGTACGACGCGTCTCGAGTAGCTCCAATAAAATTATCACTAAAAGATACACAACTTAAACTTATAACTATGATCATTTGTCATGATGAGCCCGTGAAATATTCAATAAAATTCTAAATATTTATTCTTAATGAACCGACTTCAAAAAAGGAGGAGGTTCTCAATTCGACTGTATGTTCTTTTTTTGTTATTTTTTTGTATGTATGTTACGCGATAACTCCGGTATTTGTGAACCGATTTTTATGATTCTTTTTTTGTTGGAAAGGGGGTACTTCCATAGTAGCCCCATTTCATTTTGAAGAAAATCATCCACCTCAAAGGGTGGCTGTTCACGCATGAAGAGTCATTTTTATAAATAGCGCCTAACTTTAATTTAGGAGCAATTGCTTTTAGCAATTATTTAGTTGATTTTGCTATTTCTCCAATTCAAGGCGTTTTTCTCTCGATATACTTTGAGTAGTGTCGTAGTGAGAACCTATTTTTATTATCTCCAGTATCAAGTCCTGTATAGTGGCGAACTAGGGGATATTTCAATGAAACCTAGCAAATAGATGTAATTCCACGTACTTTTGAGGTCGGTTTTTTTAGTACTCTGTACTGAGATTATATATTATTTGATAGATGGGGATGAAGAGCACACATATAAATAAAAATAAAGAATGATAAAATAATATAAATAAATATATAAAAAATATGATGAAAATAATAATAATAAATAAAAACCGTATAAATTCGATGGCCGATGAATCTACATCCAATTACTTTCCGATCGTTGCTTTGAAAGTAACCAAAGCTTGCATTTCTTTTTGAAAGTGCAAGATTATGTATGTGTATAATAAGATTTCGGATGATATTAAAAAGTTACCATTTATACTAAAGGTTCACAAAAATCCACAGCGGATCGCTGCTGTTTAGCTCTTTCAGATTATTTGAAGTAAATATTGTTAAAAAGGGCAGCAGTACTGATTAATTTAATATTAAAGTTTCCCAACATCAATAAATGATAATAGTTTAAAAAATGTCTCACGCAGCTTTCATGGATGGTAATCGGACAAACATCGGCATCCAAAGTGATTTTAGCGGCAAGATTTATCATGGGCATCACTGGAGGAGCGTTTTTGGTCTACGGACCTATGTTCATATCTGAAATAGCGGAGGATTCTATCAGAGGATGTTTGGCCTCAGGTAAATAAGATATCGTCGTCTTACTTTCTCAAACTCAGCATAAAGTAACTGAAATGCAAGAAATGCATTGTATATACAAATTTTGCAGGCTGATGTCACATCAGATTTCCTTCATATTCACACTAAGCTTTACCTATTCTGAAAGTGATGATAAGAAATTTATAACAAATAGGAAGTTTTGCCATCTCCTGAGAAAGTAAGGCATCGATATGGTTCTTGTAAAAATAACATTGAAATGACGAATTTTCAATCGAAAGAAATGTATCCTCTTAGTGATGGTAAATCAGCATCTTCAGAATAATTTGTTGACATGAAAATAGGTAAAAGGGAAGATTTGTTTGACCATCGATTTAGAGAAAGTCATTTTTGAAATAAAGGGCGCAAAGGAGTACTTACACGAAAGTTTTCTTAACACATAGATTAGGAAAACTTTTGTGTAGCAGTGTCATTCAAGAAGAGAAATTAAATTGCCATGTAGATACTTTCAATTTATTAATTATACATATGGAGGCTTCAGTTTAATGATTAAAATAAGGAAAAGGTTGGTGGTGGTCAAGCATTATTACATAGCTGTTAAAGACCAATTTGTGATAAAAGATGTAGCTGGTTTGATAGTATTGTAGTCACATGACTTGCACTCTGTTTGTCGCACTTTGGTAACTATATGTTCACAAATAAATGTGCCAGACAATGACACCAATTATCTTCTTTCTTTTAAAATAGAAAATTGTCTGTCCGTATGAATCAATTACTTCAGCAAATCGATACATTGTCGCTAACGTCTGATTGCAAATCGTCATGTCTCCAGCTGTCCAGACAGATGGAGACATAAATTAAAAATATTATCTTTTTCTTATTCTAGGACCAGTAACCTTCTACTGTCTTGGTTCCTTATGCTCGTTTCTCTTCGGTTGGTTCTTATCATACAATGTTATCATTTGGACGAACGTTTTTATCTGCGTGCTTGGGGCCATGCTGTGCTTCCTCGTCACTGAAAGCCCTTTGTATTTGCTAAGACAAGGCAGAGAAGAGGTTAGTCAATAATATGATACTGACCAGAAACTATGACTATCTGGTGTGACAAATAGGGCAATTATTACGTTATTCTTTGCAGGATGCTCTAAAAGCCTTAGCAAAATATAGAGGAGGGTCAACTGAATCGAAAATGGTCCTTGAAGAGATATCAAGATTGAAGCAAACGTTAAACCCTGCTGTTGAAATGATTTCAATTACGGGTAATAATATGGAATTACTTAGTGTATTTTTGTTAACTGAATCTATCAGTTACCTAATATCTTTAGTTTCTTCTTTCTTAGTATTTTAGTTGCAGTCTCTACTGCTACTAAAAGACTGAGAAAGTTAGTTTCTCCTTGTGAAAGAGTTCGTCCTGGAAGCACTGCTACCGGGTAAGGTGGCATTTCAGTCGCCAAGCAGTCATGTGAACTTTACTGTGTTTCGGTTTGGAAGGGTAAGAGTGCTGGTGAAATTACAAGCACATGGTACCTACTCGTCAACTTATGTCCCAGAGTGAAGGATACAGTGTCAGTGACTATAAGATATTTGCGTTTTAAAGTTCTGGGTGGCACTGCAACTTTTATGGATAGGCGTGTCGCTTACCACCAGGCGCACGACATGTTCGTCCCGTCACTTAATATTATAAAAAAGTCTTTTTAACCGGAGGTAGGGTTCTCATTCAGTGCAGAACGTCCTGTAAGTTCCGGATTAAAGGGTCGGGAGGACGAGCGCAATCACAGACACTTAGAATCCTATTTCCTACAATAATTATTCTTTCAATACAAATCAAACAATTGATGGACGTGCAGTGTGTTTGAGAAAGCGAAATATTTTTGCCATACCATGTTTTTAAGTACACTTTCTTTCAGGCGTAATTTTTTGAATATATCCGTTTGTTGCAGATACTACAGAAGAAAAGCCTGAAGAAGCTGAAAAACTCAACCCTGATAATGAAAAGATGAACACTGAAGTCACTAAAGTGGAGGTGCTACAAAAACAATCATCTATCAAATTGTTGTGTAAGTTGCTTTAATAAAAAGAAATGATTAATGCAGTAGTATACACACAAATGTTTTTAAAGTTATGCAGTTTTCAAAACCAATGAATTCGGTATAATATGTAGAACTAAAATTTGTCTAATAAGTTTTTTTAATTATTATTATCATGATATTCATTCTTCTTTCAGTTAAATCTTACACAAATCGCAAAGCTTTCCAGGTGGTTGCGACTGCTATAACGTTGCAGGTAAATAATTAAGTTATTTTATATTTCTACGAGTAAGTGGCAGAAATCTGCAGTCTTATTAACAGTCTCGGGACCTTTCACACATTAAGCTATACTAACTGTCACGTGTGTAAACTGCAAATTTGAACGCTATATGAATGACTTAAAATACATTATTGATTGATATGATGTTCTTTGATTATTATATAATATTATGATGATTATCGAAAAAGCATTTCTATGGGATGACAGTCCTAATAGATATTAGCTGTAATTGTCATGGCTGTCACAAAGAGAACTCCCAAAATAATCGACCACAATAATCATAATGTTGTGCACTAATCTGAGCATGTTTCTGTATTGCATTACTATATAAATTACTCTATGATATGTCGCAGGTAATTTGACAACTATTGGGAAAAAGATTAAGAGCTTTTCCTGTGTGTTGGTTAATTTTACCATTCCAATAACCATTTATGGAACTTTCTGGTAGATGTGGGAATATATATATATATATATAATTCACAACCACGAATGAAACACATGAATTTCAGGAATCAAGACAACGCACGTCATAGACAACCATCGAATACATCATCTCCATCACCCTTAGTTGGGGAACCTACAGTAGGAACTATACAATATCTTTAAAAGTAAATTCACAAGCGACAAGTATCAAAAATAGGTTCTTATCAAATCTTATAATTAATTCTCTTTTTAGGTCTTAAAACCTTATCACTGGGAAGGGGTGAACCATAGACGCTGACATCAGCGGGTGGCATAGCCGATCGATCTACCGCTTTATCTGCTTTTTCTGCAGTATCCTGCTGTCCCGCTGTCTCTATCTGCTCTTCCCTCTCCGCCACCTCTGATGCGTCTTGCCACTCACCCCCCAATTCTTCTTTCTCAATAAGTTGAAAAGGTGTTGACAAGCCGGGCTGTCTGACTACATTTTTTGATACTAATATTATCAACCGGAGGAAGGTTATTGGACTCATAACGGATGAGTTGATCTATGTGTCGTTTGCAAATATCATTATTTTCCGCTAATTCGACTAAGAACACCCTAATTCCCAGTTTCTTCAAAATACTTCCTTTTTTCGAAATTGTTTTTCTGTCTACATAGCATCTACACCAGACTAGCTGACCTATGTTAAACGATCTCTTAGTTTCATTTATCGGACTCGAATCCTTATTTCGCGGCGGCACTACCAGATCCAACCGGCCACGCAACTCGCGACCCATCATTAACCTAACTGGGGAAACTCCTATGGCGCAATGTGTAGTATTGCGATACTCAAATAAATATTCTTGTAACTTTTCGTTATTTTATACTTACAAGAATAATTTCCCAAAATTGCCTTAATCATCTTTTTGCACGTCCTGACACTATTTTTCGCCTGACCGTTACTGCACGGATGATATATTGGGGAGGTTATGTATAAGATACCGTTAGTTTTGCAAAACTCAATAAATCCACTGGAGGAAATTTTTGTATCATTGTCGGACACAATTGTTTTAGGTAGACCGAATCTTGAAAACAGAAAGTTTTAATATAAGATGTTTCGTTGCGGTGCCGCAACTCATATTAAAACAGTCTAGCCATTTGCCAAACGTATCAATAGCGACAAGGTATGTTCCTTGGGATACAGACATATAATCAAGATATATACGTAACCATGGCGCAGTAGGCCGCGGCCACGGCTGCGGCGCGACTCGCGCGGCGGTGCAGGTCGCAGAGCCACGCACACGGGACAGGCGCCTACGGTCCGCTCCATGTCGCGGTCGACTCTCGGCCACCATACACGAGATCGAGCCGCACTCTTTGTTCTGACAATCCCTTGATGAGTTCGATGTAACTCCTGTAGTATGTCATTCCTGTGAACCATTGGAATCACTACTCTATGACCTCGTAGAAGGCAACCATTTTCCATCTCTGAATCTGTTTTACAGAGTGAATGCCGTTTGCGGCCAACCATGATTTACATATTTAATCACGGTTTTAAGAATAGAGTCATTCGCCGTTGCTTCACGAATATCTTTATAGGTAACCGGCAACCCTACTAACTGAAGGGAATGTAGCCGGTGTCCACAATACGGTATCCTTGTGAGAATTCGAACCGTCATGCTTCAATGGAGCTCTAGGAAAATCCGCTCCAGGATTTTCCTTGCCCGAAGTGTAATGAATTTTATAATTGTACGCAGAAAGAAAAACTGCATACCTGACTAACCGCGACGCAGTAGTAACTGAAATCCCAACTTTTCCTCCAAAAATTGCCAACAACGGCTTATGGTCGGTTTTTAAAATAACAGGAACACACCGGCCATACAAATATTGGTGGAAGCGTTTCACACCAAACACAATAGCCGTAGCTTCCTTTTGCAGCTGGCTATAATTTCGTTCGCTTTGCAACAGCGATCTCGGGCCGAAAGCCAACGGGCGTTCTCGGCCAGCACCGCGCCCAGGCCGTCCGGTCCCGCGTCCGCGGTTAGCACCAGTTGCGCCGCCGGATCGAAGTGCGCAAGCACGCGCTCATTCCTAAGCTCGCACTTCATCCTGTTGAAGGCCGCTTGCTGCCACTCCATCATCAAGTGGATACTTCTATCGTGTACCTTCATGCAATAATTTGTGGAAGGGAGCCAATATTGATGACGCATTGGGAACAAAGTTACAATAATAACTCGCCATACCTAAAAAATTTTAAGCTCTGTTATATTAGTTGGCTCAGGCACTTTGACGATAACCTCAACATTTTTTGGAGACTTTTGTAATCCGTCCTTACTAATAATATGTCCTAAATATGTTACACTGTCTTGGAAAAAGGTACATTTGCTTTTTTCTAATTTAAAAGCTGATTCTTGAAATCGCTGGAAAACTTTTTGTAACCGCTCCAAATGCACGGCTTTTGACGGGCCCGTCACGCAAACGTCATCTAGAAATATCATTATGTCCTCTATTCCTCCTAAAACGTACTCAACAGTGCGCTGAAAAATCGCTGGGGCACAGGTTCATTTAAACACTAACCGTTTGTACTTGAACAACCCCTTAGGCTTATTAATTGTAGTAAGTTTTTGCGAATCCTCCGATAACCTTAACTGATTGTACGCCTGACTACAGTCCAACTTGGAGTATTGCCGGCCATTACCCAACTTTGGAAAAATCTCTTCTATCCTCGGCAGAGGATATCTGTCAATGTAAATAACCTTATTTAATGTTACAGAGTAATCTGCACAAATTCTAATGCTACCATTTGACTTACGGACTGGAACAATAGGGGTTGCGTAGTCCGAATGATTCACCGGCTCCAATATCCTACCTGTAACCTATCTCAACCAACCTCTCGAGCTCGGCTTCGACCTCATTTTTAATCGCAAACGGCAATGGGCGAGGTTTGCAAAACTTCGGCTTCGCACCTTCTTTTAACTACAGAGTAACGTCATCACGAGAACACACAGTAACAACCTAAGTCAATACTGAACAAATCTTTATATTTATCGACTAAATTTCGTGTTTCTAATTCTCCTACAGAAGTTAATTCAGTTTTGTTATTACTCGAAGTTATGTACAATTTGAATTTGGCCATGAAATCTCGCCCTAACAAAGGGAGTCCACAGTTTTCCACGACAAAGAACTTAATTTCGTGTGTTAAACCATTGTAGGTGACTTCAGTGGTAACATACCCTATAGGCTTAATTTGATGGCCGTTATAAAAGCACACTCTAACATTACACTTAAAAATTTGTTTGTGAGCAAAATGTGTCAAATAAAGTTCCTTCGAGATAACATTAGTACTAGACCTAGAGTCAATTTCCATGTTTAATGTCGTTCTACTATTAACTACGATCGAAATTGAATACGATTCATTGCTCATGCACCTCAGGTTGAACATCTGAAACTCTTTACACTCGCGGCAATCTATTGCCGCTTGTTCCTCATCCGAATTAGATTCTGTTTCTAAGTTGATATTTTTGACGGTTTTTATTTTAGCACAGCACATTTTCTTAAGATGGCCTTTTTCTTGGCACCTTTGACAGCGGTAGTTTTTGTACCAGCGCCTCAAAGCCTCGTGACCCTTCATGCCACATACTGCGCATCGCTCTCTAAAATCTTTTTTTTGCGGTACCGCAGCAGCCCGGCCCGTGCCTGACCACAGCAGCGGTTCTTCTTTTAAGGCAGCGGCATTCATCAAAGCACCCAGCGCCATAGTCCGCTCTCTCGCGATCACAGTTTACTTTGCTGTTTCTAGTGCCTTGGCGAATGTTAGTTTGTTTGCGTCCTGCTTACACAATCTGTCTCGTACAGCTCCCATATTCAGCCCGAGTACAAATTTGTCCCGATACACCCTGTCCATGGAGGCTTCGAAGGTGCAATGCACTGCTAAACCTTGTAATCAAGCCCAATCCTCGACAGTGTCCTCCTCTGCTTAAACAGCGTTGTAAAAGTTAAAGTCGGCAAATGTCGCCCGCGTAGGAGTCAGGTATTGGTCTAATAGTTCTACCAACTCATCGAATTTCGAAGTTTCCACCTCCTTCGGATGACTGAGATTTCGTAATAAGAACTGCACGCTTCTTTTTTTGAAAGATGGTAGGGTTCCGATCCACATCGTCACCAGTTGATGGATATGGAAATATATATATATATATAATTCACAACCACGAATGAAACACATGAATTCCAGGAACTGATTTCAATCTCAAAACTCACACGTCAAGACAACCCACGTCATAGACAACATTTTCATAATTAATTAAATAATGAATGACGTATTTAACACTTGTTTCACCCAAAAGGAAGGTCACAAATTGTCAGGATTTTTTTAAAATAAAGAGTGTTTATAATAATTAATAATACAAAGATCGAACACTTAGAAAAAATTCTTTCGATCCGGCCGGATTCGAAACGACGTTTTCCAACAAACCGTGCCAGAAACTATGCCAACTAAGCCACGGAACGAACCAGCGGACATCACGATTTTTTCTATGAGCTTGTTGTCGAATCTTTGTATTTGGTTTTCAACGAGTTTTTTAGCCATAGCGCCATCTATGAGAAATCCATGAAAGTATTTTGTCACGCAGTTAGGTAACTTTACAGCTACCAGGCCTGGCTAGAAATGTCGCTATGTGTTTGTCATTATGCGATATCTTTGTATTAATAATTATAACAAACTAGTGGAATAATTTCACAAAAAATAATAGAATATCAATTCAATACAAATTTAATTAAAGAGTGTTTACTTAAAAACTTGTACGTTATTTTTGTTTACCAAATAAATGCTGGTATATTTTTTCTTCAAGTCTACATCGAAAGCTTCTATTATAATTATCTATTTCCTTGCAGGTATTCATGGGAATGGTACCAGTGATGGTAAACGCAGGTTCTATTTTTAAGGAAGCAGCTCCGACCATTGCCTCAGACGCCTGCTCAGTTCTGTTAGCTCTTGTATTGGTCGTCAGTTGTGCAGTGACTGCTATTATTTCTGATTTGGCTGGGAGAAGGGTGAGATCTCTTTAAGATTAGACCTCCGTTTCATTAGATACAGTTTATAAATTTGTTTGTCAGGAGACAGAAGTATCTTTCTGTGATTATAACATTCATGCATTCGTCAATCTGCCACAAGAGCATGACGACTATAAAAACGCCTTATAGAGCTGATTATTTGAATATTTGTACTAGTACTAGTGAGATGAATGATGCAGATTTTGGAGGTTTCTTGCATGTCTCAGGAAGCTTTCGATTTCGGCCTTGAAACGTGGAATTTATTTTGGAGGCAAATGGTCGTTAAACGGAGATTAAACTTGATGAATGATGTTTATGACTTAATGGGATATAGTAAAATGGACTTTATGGAATTTATGGAACTAATGTGGACAGTGGAAAATATTGAGATAAAACCACGTCTCATCAACTTTGGGCATATCCTGGGAAAGGCTAGGTTTAACGTATTAAGAACAAACGGTTAGTATATGGTAGCATTTATATAGAAACAAAAACGTAGATGAAAAACTTGTAGTCTCTACATCTCCTTGTAGGAGATATTCGTCATATGTTGATGTGTTTACGATACGTTAAAAAATTTTCCTATATTCTTTCAGTTTTTGATAATATCTTCATCTCTCATGGTAGCAGTATGCATGATTAGTCTGGGCGTGTTAACTCAGATCAAGACTGGTCCAAGCTGGTTATCAGCACTTCTAATATTGTTCTACTGCTTCTCTTTTAACTTTGGCGCTGGCACAGTGCCTTATGTGCTTCTGGCTGAGGTGTTTGTACCAGAGGTTAGTAAAGTTTTCTTACTTATGGACTTACTCGTATATTAGTGCAAGTTATCTTTTTAGTATTGCCAACTTGTGGAAGTTTCCTTGTCTGATTTCTCCTAGTTACCACACTATTTTTGTCTTGCAAGGTGATAATATTAAATCTTTCATAAAAGATTTAATTTTGCTCTAAATAATGTTAATTTTAGTTGGTTTATTTAACTGTCCGTGTTCTTGCTTATTTAGTTTCTTTTTCTATAATTGAAATAAGAAAAAGTCTAGATTGTTATGTATCTGTTCAATTACAGGTTCAAGCAATGGCCTCAATGATTCTAGTGGAATGGGCTTGGTTTCTGAATTATGCCATTCTAGAACTCTTCGTGGTAGCACGAAACCTGATCGGCCTGCATGGAGCGTATTACATTTTCGGTGCAGTGTCCATTGGTAATGCTATTATCAGCTACTTCGGAGTTCCTGAAACCAAGGGGCTAAGTAATCAACAAATTCAGGAGGCTTTTAGAAGAAGGTAGAATATTTATAACGACCTAGGACTTTTGTAGCGTATAAGTTTTCTAGCAGACTTCAATTTTTTTCGGGTCTATTGCATATATTTGTTTTTTTTCAAATAACCAACATTTCGGAGCTTAGGACTTAGATTTTTCACAATTTTTTAGAAGCACCTATAGGAACTAGATTTTGTGTTATTAGTGCACGGAGTTTATAATATACATATAATTGTGGTTCAATTGTGCGTTGTCAGTAATAAAATTCACATTAAATGTGTCACAGATACTTGTAAATAATCATAAGACATTAAATCAAGATTTAAAAAATTTTGGTTTTTATTTGTAAATGGCTCTATGTGGAAACTCATGATTGGTCTTTATCGTTATATACACTATATCATTGAGGTGGAGTCAAGTTGGAGGACAGTTGCTTCCCAATTAAGGGACGATCTCTATGGCGATATGTACCTATCACTTTTTACTTTTCAGTTTTTTTTTATGATATCAAGTGAACGAAGGGATGAACAAGTCGTGCCCCTGGTGGTAAGCGACACGCCTGCCCGTAGGAATTGCAATGCTAGTCAGAGCTATAAATCGCAAAGATTTGGTCTATAAATTTGGATATAATAATAAAAAAACGTCAATAGTATCCAGCTTTCATTTGTAGTTCAAGATTCTGGTGACCTCAGCATCTCCCTGATTGCAGCTTTACTGCAATCCTCATACAATCCACTTTGCTTGTAATGTCACAAAGGTGTTCCGGTACTTTTTTTCCGTCTGTCATTTAGTGCTTTTTTGTCTTCACTGATATTTGCTATTTAGTTAACTATAAACTCACGGTTATAATGCAGTTAAGTTAACCCACTAATTAAACCCGGGTCGTTATACCGCTGGCTTGACAGGTTCACAAGCTGTCATAGAGTTTACTTTCTACGCCATTGTCATATCAAGGTCGTGTGAAAATTAAACATAATGCATTGTTTTATTTTCCTGGTTAAGGTATAAGTATGACACTAACGACAATTTTTGTGAAGTAGATTTTGGTTACTCGTATTGTTATAAAAAAAACTCACATTAGAACTTAATTGAAGAGTAAAGACAGATAGAATTTTGGGTTAGAATTTTAGCATGAAATTTGATCTAACGGTTGTCCATCATTATGATATTTGTAAAACAGTACAACTTTGACAGGGTAGTACTTATGAAACCAACCGCTTTAAATATTTTGTCAAGCAATAAGTCTTGTTTGTGTTAATGCCAGCTATCGAATTGTATAGACGTTACGCATGGCCGCTATTTTGAAAAATAGTTCTACGGATAAATGGCGACCAGAAGAAAAAGGTTGAAACTTAGCCGTATTAAATTAGTTTCTGCTAATAGATGTTTAAAGATAGTATTGTCACTATTGTTTCAGGATTTAAAAGTTTTAGTTCTTAAGTCAGAAAATAACACTTAAATACCCATTACACGTTTTAAATTAATGTCGTGTGAGCTGGCAGTTAATCTGATTATATTTCTGCGAACGTAGCATCATCTGCATTTGATTGGCTATGCATCTCAGATTTGCAGAAAGCGCACGCTTTTTTGCATCGTAAACCACTACTTTCGCTTTTCAGGGTTCAACGAGATGGTGGGCAATACCCAGTACATCGATGCTTAGAATAATAACGCATAGAAACCTAGCCCGCACACGCTAAGTGAGGCAAATTGAAGTGCTCCCAAAGGGCCTACACGAGCGGGCGGGCCTTCAGTGCTCAAGGTCAACTTGCACCGCGAACAGATCAAGAATTTTATGTGCGGTAAATGAGTGTAAAAATACGTCAGACAAACAAAATAGATACTAACATCTCATTCCACAAGGAAGGAACGCGTTTCAACTTGTATTTTTATATAAATATTCACTGAAACCGAAAATTAACCTACTACTAAAACTAGCCTACATGAACTTGATTTTCGTTTGATATGAAACTATCATTCTATGCGTTATTATTCTAAGCATCGATGGTACTTT